CAAATCTGAATAATGTTAACTTGGGCAAAATGAGAGTGTATACACAAACACTACATTTCTTAACAGCTCTGATTTTTCTTTAAAATACCACTCGTCTAACTTGAGACGATCCCTTGGAAAGCAGAATGGGGATCTATCTGAGTTACTTAGAAATTTTTTAAAAGGTATTTTAAAACAAGATTAACTGTTACTTTAAGTCTTGACATTTCCCGATTAATAACCCTAACACTTAATGAAGCACAATAGATTTAAGAATTGAAGATTTTTCATGAAAAAGGAAATTAGGGACAGTTTGGTGCAATACACTGTCACCAAAATAATCTGTTCCAAGAAGGCTTTAGTCTTTACATGTAAATAGCATGAACTATCTAAAAAAATTTCCTCTTAAAATCTCAGTCCAAACTTTTAGAAGAATTTCAAGGCTGACTTTAACAAAGTAATGAAAGTCAAAAAGTGCACTCATTAAGTAAATTTTGAACTTGCAATTGAGGTCAAAAATTATGTATATGTAAATATATTAAAATATGTCATCTTTTAAAAATATGCCTATAAAATATTTTAGTATACACAAATTATTTTTCAAAACATACCTAGTATGTTTGCAATGCACCATCTATTAGTAATGATGACATGCTATAAGATAAAAGGGCAAAGATATGCAGAACTATGTCCAATAAGTAGAATAAACTGTGAACATCATATTAATTATCCTTACTTCACAAGAACTTGGAACAAAGACACGTGAAAATCAAATAAATATACATATTTTATATTTAAAATTATTGCATCCCAGATTTTCCACAACCTAAAACACAGCTTTTCATATACATTTCATTTGTTGAATATTAATCTCTTCAAAGTTTATACCTAAGTAGATAAAAAATCACATATGGTTTATGCATATTTTTTTTCATATGTCCTCATCCAGGGTTGAAAGCAGGACCTATGTGATAAGACTATGAACCTAGAATCTCTATGCACATTAAGGTGATGTCCTTGATGCGTCATATGTGTATTTAAATTACATCAACAGAGTTATGCAATTAAAATGTGAATTAGAAAAACAAACCAGGTTTCTAATCTATTAATTACTGGATAGGTAGTAAAATTGATTTTTTCCCTAATGATAAGTCTATTCATGTATTTGAAAGTCACCTGTATAATTTAAAAGGAAAGCCTATCATAACTTTGTGATTTCCTTTGATCAATGAAATTTAATGCTCAAATTCTACTTTTTTTAATGTCAAGGACAATGCCAATACCTTAAGTCAAAATGAGGAAGAAGAGAAGAAATCTTAAAGCTAAATATAATATGTAAAACTGACTAGAAAATGTAAATCTAGGTGACAGAATAACAAAACTAAGAATCTCTCGAAGTGAAAAAAAGTGTTCAAAGTAAAATAAGATATACTGTTAAAAATTAAAGGCATAAAGTCCTTTGAATATTCAGTTATTCTTTTTTAACTGGTCTGATAAAATAAGGTTGCCCTGTATCTCCACTAATAAGGTACTCAATCTTTTTTCTGCAACTTTAGGCTCTTTGGTTTGACTTGAAAAAAAAAAAACAGACTTTTCAAAGCAGATGACTGCGGAGGGGCCATTTTCACCTTGCAAACAGATCTTTGTTATTCTGGTGTGTAAAGCAGACCATTAGCACAAAGTCATTTCTAATCTCAGTTGTACAATCCACATGGTGCACATAACCCTAAAACTCATGTTGCATAAACTGCTCTGCTTCCACTCCTAATGACCTTGCAAATCATTCAATGTTACTGCATGACTTGCAGCCATGAATTAAAAGACCGCCAAACGACTTGATGACAAAGTTATAATTTCCCCTTTCCTGAAGGTTTATAAAAGTCGACATAACATCCTCTAGCAGAAACCGAGAAAGAACTTAGAATGGAAAAGATAAGTGTAATATCTGACGTTTATAAATGGCATTTTAAAAATTACTTAAAGAAAAAAGTAAATGACCTACAAAATTCACACCTGACTTCAAGGTAGAAAACTAAAGGAAATGAAATTGCTCCAGTGGTACCAGACTTAGTCCCATGATATTAATGACCACCAAATGTCTCCTCCTGTCCTAACTTCACTGTACAGTATTCAATTAAAACTTACTTTAAGATCGAAAAGTTAATGAACACACCATCTACTGCTGGACTCACGCTGAGGATATATTATGTTCATATTTTTTAGAAATAAGAGTTTTTGATCTATCGTATCTCCTTTGTTTAAAGAGAATCTGATGACCCCAGGATTCATGACTTTATCTTGCCTTTCCCTTAACTTCAAACACGTGAGATAGCACTTTTTTTCCTTCTTCCCCTTTGGCCTACCTCTTTTAACGAACCGCATTTTAAAAGAAAAAAAAAAAAAAACAATAAATGAAGTAACAAGAGGTGAAAGAATGAGGAGTGTGCGCTCCAAGAATAAAGGGCGGTTTTATAACAGGAGGTACTTTTGTTAGCAAGTGACTGGCAGGTCTCCTCCCCCAAGTTAAAAGAAATTCCATCCACTCCCCAAAACGGCAGAGGCCAAAAATGTCTAGTCTAATAGTTCTGAAACCCCAGAATCAGAAGATAGGCAAGGGGGGCGGACTGGCCGGTGGGGGAAGGGGAGAAAGACCAGCAGGAGACGAAAGAACAAAAGCAGAAACCCAAGAAAAGAGAAAGGAACAACGGGAGCCGGGCGGCCAAAGAGCCAGTGGGAGGGA